GAGCAATCTTGAACAATTTCGAGCAATTTTGAGCAATTTTGAGCTGATCTGGGTGCAACAAATTGAGTTAATCAATTTATCTACTATCTAAAAACCTCTACGATCTGAACCCCTACGATCTGGACCTGGATGAAATTAATTTTGAGCAATTTATTGTTTCATTGCCGTCACTGGCCTGGCCTAACTTCTTCTTCACAGCAACTCAGTCTTCAATCCTCACATGAATTTTGTCGACTCTTCAGTCAGGACATCCAGCCTCTTCAGCAGCTGCTTGCTTGCGCAGGATCACGCCGCGCAGTCATCGCAGACAAGTTGCAGCGCAATGGCAACGCACAACGTAATTCACAGTGGCTGCAAACCAATCAAATTCAACAACAAAATTATCTGTCAAATCCTTGATTCATCCTGCAAGTCGCCAGTGTTTCTCTGAGAGTCCGACAAAGTCAATCAAGATAAACAAGTCTAAGAAATCAACAACTCAAGGGATAGAAGTGACATTTGAACATTTGAAACAGTCACTGGACCAAGCGTTTTAAAAAGTGCACAGCGCACGTCTGTCACACACACACACATGTCAACACCGAAGCGGAGCAAAAAACAATTGACAAAATTGACCAGAAACATTTGACCCTTGTTTTCAAATTGTTTTGACAGGGCCCACACCGCAAAGTTATTACAAAGTTCACCACCAAAACTTAATTATTGTTCGTGCGCAGCCGCTCTTGGCATCTCCAAACCCAGTCTCACAAGAAGGAATTGCAGTTGATCAGGGGTCTTTGGAAATGAATCTCTGGATCTTCATTGGGTTCATGATAAGGGGAAAGGTATTTAAATATAATGATTAGTTTGTAGCATTGTCACATGTAATAAGTTATCCTAAAACGGGACAGCCAAATCTATCATAGCTACATTAGATCCCCACCTAACACAGAAACCGAATTACATATAATATTGATTCTATTCTCCCATAAGAATGAGGTATTCTTATATTGGAGTATTCCCCTACTACTATCCCCACTACAATTCAAACTAATAGACCCATAGATTAATATTAAATCCCCCCGTATATATATAATATTAGATCCACCAGACCCACCATCACTTTGCCGGTGGCCGGTGGCCACCACCACGAAGCAGATCCTGACGCTCGGCTGGGGTTTTGGCTGCTGGACCTGGTTTTTAGCCTAGCCTACTTTCATAACAACCCGATTGCTGGAATGAAAACCCGATTCTTGGCGGGAATAGAAACCCGACTACTTTGTGGTTATGGGCCTACATCCCCACTATGAATCATACAAAAATTAAATGCAATTTACCAAGCCAATCTTGCAATTATTCTGGGAGCAAATAGTTCCTTTGATTCCCCACCTGCCAGGTGAGGGTTGTTAGATTTTATCAGAGTTGTTCTCCTCCTCCTCCTCGGCTAGCTGTCCTCCTCCTCCTCCTCCTCGGCTAGCTGTCCTCCTCCTCCTCCTCCTCCTCGTCCTCCTCCTCCTCTAGTTTCTCCTCGACCATGTCTGCATCAACTTCCACCTCCACTTCCGCCTTGCCAACTCTTCGCCAAGCTCTTTAGCAACTCTCTTCGCCAAGCTTTTTGCCAACTTCCCAGCTCAGTGTGCACCGCAGGACCTCAACCTGGGACTTTCCCAGCTTGCCCAGCTCAGTGTGCACCGCTGGACCTCAACCTGGGACCTTCCCAGCTCAGTGTGCACCGCTGGACCTCAACCTGGGACCTGCCCAGCTCAGTGTGCACCGCTGGACCTCAACCTGGGACCTTCCCAGCTCAGTGTGCACCGCTGGACCTCAACCTGGGACCTGCCCAGCTCAGTGTGCACCGCTGGACTTCAACGGCCAGATAGAATGCCAGAGAGATGCCAGATAGAATGCCAGAAGATCAGATAGAATGCCAGAAGATTTGCCAGTAACAAAGCGGTTAAATATCATGGTGGGGATCACACGAAGTAAAGTAATTTTATTCTAAGTTGCTTTTTGTGGCTATGTGATCAGCAAACTCATCCACAGGGAGAAATACTATAGGTACATAATCTTGAAGTAAGGGTGGCAATTTGGTGGGCTATGGCCAAAGCAAAACCCATATAATTGCTGCTACTGTACATGTCATGTTCGGAAAATATATGCTTCCAAAACTAAATCAGTTCAATCCAATCTTCGATTCCGCATTTTGTGGGGGTTACACTGAATTAGATTCTGATGATTGCTATTTGGAAACCCTTATAGATAATTACCACTATAGATAATTCAAGAATCCACACTATCAATTACAGATATACAAAACACTAAAGATAAAACATGGGACCCAGGCCAAATAGATTCCATAGCTGAGAAAAGATAGAAATCCTGATGTAGATACATCGGAATTTGTGAAATAAAATTTGAAGGGGGTTGCTATTATCTGCTGCCCCAATGGAATCTATCTTACCCAGTCCCAATGGGATGGTCTGCTGCTCCACATTCTCCAAAATCTTTCCTTGCTCACCTTTCTGACAGTTCTGACATCTCTGGGAAGGTCTCCTGCTCCACAGTCTCGAAAATCTGTCCTTGCTCACCTTTTCTTCACACCCTCGGGATCGCCGCCAGCTCCACGTTCTCACCTTGCCAAGATGCACGCAGCAGGATTGCCACACAGAGCAACTCCATTGTGCCAAGTGTGACCAAAGTAAAGGCAAGCACGGCAACCCTCCAAGTCGAGGGTGATGCGTTTTGGCATTAGCCTGAAGCCAAGTGCGCCACACCGGGCCGCCACTATCTCTGGCACCTTCGTCCCAAGCCCGATGCCTTGGAAGTGCGGGAGCACGACCAACCCTGTCTCGCGCCATGCGACGCCGCCGTTTCCCTGGCCATGGAAGTCGCCAACACGTCTGGCGTCATGGGTTGCTCCTCCTCAGACCGGTAAGCCTGCCTTGAAGGCTTGGTAGTCTGCTCGATCCTTGTGCATCTTGTGCTCTTTGTCCTTCTTCTTGCCCTCTGTCAGAGGGAAGTTGATAACCATGATGGGGTGGGTAAAATATAATGAACCGAAGATTGAAAATGATGCAGAGCCAATGACAATGATACCAAAATCTGGGCAATCCCAAACCAAAAGTATCCTACAGGTCTGGGAAGTGCTGGGTGGCTCTTACCTGCCAGACGTCCCAAGCCACCATCCCCGCAGGAGCTCAACCACCTGTGGCCTATGAAAGCTCCTACTTTGACCTTCCAGTTTCCTTCCCCCATCCCTCACCAATACAGTCCTCATTTCCAAAACTATCTGCCCCACTCCGCTCAACCACACATTGGGAGCCAGAGTGGGGCATGCAGCAGCAGCAAAAAGAAATAACCTGCTTCAGGGCCATCATGCGTATAGGCCAAAATTTTGAAATTTTTGATTTGGGAAATCATGCTGTGGATGGAAGAAATCCTGCACCAATTGGTGGATAGTTTTTCCAATTATAAGCCCATGATCTACAATGATTGAAATGATAAATAATAGTTAGCAACTGGCACAGGATTTCTTCCATCCACAGTAGTTCACTTTAATTCCCCAAAAAAGGTGGAACAATACACAACACCACTACCTAGCCTTTTGGGAAGATATGTAAGCAGTAGTTAGAGCAAAGCAGTAGTTAGCTAGCTTCACTGGGTCATAAACACGAATAAGAATATGGGCCCCAATCTAAACCCACCCTTTCAAAGCCACTGGCCAAATTTTGCCAGAGAATCCAGGCATCCCTTTCCATACTTTAAGGATGGGTTACCCTTGTTTTCATCCTGAGGGGGGAAACCCTAAGAAATGGAAACCGGAGAACAGCTGTATCTTGTTGACACAAAGGCATCCTTGTATAGATGCTTGGGTTTTCAATGCCATTGTTGGGTGGGATTTTTCAATTCCAAAAAAGGTCGTCCTATTACTGATATGTTATGGTATGATCATAGGTTTTGGGAACATGATAAGTTGAAAAAATATCAGGCTAGTCACGGTTGTTTCTTAAGGGCTAATGGCGGCTAATGGATTCTTGGGACAACTGGAAATCAATATCCATTGAGAAACAAACAATCACCCATTTCTGTACACCCATGAATAAGGGACCGTTGGCGTTGCACCCTTGGAAGCTGGATAGTGTGGTAAAACCACGGGTTTCACAAGGATCTTCGGTTTGTTGGCTTAGAATCAGTGAGCCCTTACACTTGTATGCCATTATCCACATCATATTATTTTGTTGTATGTCATAAAACAATTTGGAATAATACGATGTTATTTTCTGTACCTACCATCATGTCATAACAATTAATATACCATATCGATTTTGGGTGAACCAGTAATAATCCTTGAGATTATCGTTGGGATTATCTTCTCCGTCAGCTACTATATACAAATCATACATTTGAATCAAAGAAATGTCTTGTGAATCTACCCCTGATATTCCAATGTTTACATAAACATGCATATGTATATGTAAACATCGATATATGAAGGGGTAGATTGATATACACATATATTAGGCTCCAGGCATGCCCAATAGCCCCACTGGGCTGGCACCCCCACCGCCTCAGGAATCCCAGGGGCAAGGCTCATCAACTGCAGAGGCGCCACTTGGTATGGCCTTGGAGTGGCAATGGTCTCAAACATTAGCACAAAGATCTGATAGGAAAATGGTAAATGTTTTTTTCCTCACAATGATGGCAGATTGGTAGCTCATACGCAGTGGGCCAAAATTTCAGGTGGCAATCCCAATGACTAAATAAATGTAACAAATTGAGATGAAACCCAGATTGTTGAGGATCAATGATGCTACTGTGAAATTTGTTTGGGACATCGGTGCCACCTAGGTTTGCCAGTTTGCCCTGTTCACCAGTCACCTATCAGCCTGAATCAAATTACTTGAAACATGTTCAGATGATATTTGAACGTGATTGGGATTTTGAAATGAAATGACAATTGATTTGAAACTTCCGGGCTGGATACACGTCGGGCAGCAGCATGTCAAGTCAGTTGCTTGAACTTACACAGTATCAACCACCAAAGTCATCCCGGGCTTAATTTCCACCGATTTGGTGGCCACAATCACCGGGCGTTGGGGTTGTAACCCGGTCTGCGTTTGCTTTATGTGCCATGCAAAGCCGGTCCATGCACTTTCCCACTTCATGGCCGGTGCCACCAATTTGGCACAGGTGGTTTGCCCAGCTTTATCCTCATCAAGGCGCGGAGCAAAGATCAGGTCGTTCACCTCCAGTGTTCCATTGGATCAAAAAATGATAACCATTTTCCTCAAAATAGTACAGAAGATAAATAACCAATTGTCAACCATACATGGTGTGTATTGGTTTATCTTTGAAACATCTATCCAAAGTAACTTGTTTGTTCATCGATATTTCTTCTTGGGCCAAATGGACACAATCAAAGTTTGTAACGACCCTAATGAATCAACAATCCCTCAATCAAGAATATGTTCATTGGGGGGAATATGTTCATTGGGGGGAATGAGATCATGTATTTGGTTGAACCTTCTTGAGTTCCCATTTGTGCTCCACCATGTCGAGCTTGGCTTCATAGTACTGGAGAACCGGTTTGTCGGGAAACTTTTGGCGCATCGATTCCATAAGATCACCAAAGTACTGGGGACGGCCATCCAAGATTGCCATCTGGGAAGACACATCCTTGATGTCAAAAGGAATCTCATGCTCTTGCAGCCCCGAAGATTCAGTCCCAAAACGGAATGCACCCCGGCCAAAGCCACAAAGACTGGTGCCTTCTGCGATGGTGACCTTAGATAGAATATATATATATATAGATAGATAGATAGATGGATAGATAGATAGATTGATTGATTGATAGATAGATCGAGCGATAGATAGGTATACTTCTAAGTATAGATGTCATATATATGTATATTGCTACATATTTCTATTTATATAGGCCCTTAACATCCACTTGGCATAGCTATGGCAGCTGTTGAACTGACAATGGATTCATTGATTTTTTAAGCACACAAAATGTCATGAATGAAATCCAAGAAACCGGTTGTTCCCCAAGATTGGTCAAAAAGATGGCATCCGTTTGAATGATAAGGTCGATGTTGGTCAAATTGAGGAGGTTAACCCTTTGTAGCTCTGTCCCCGTCGGTGCACTACCCGTTTCCACAAGTAGCTTCGTCAACATGGACATGTCAACAGGAGCCGAACCAATTTTGGGGATCTTCTTTGGGGTGACCGTGGTCACATTGGAGTTGACACGTTTCGTTCCTTTTTTTTCTGGTTTTGGAAACTCCTCATTGAAAGTGTCCATCCATGCCCGGAACTCGGCCCCGTGAGTAGCATTTGTATGCCAAACCTTTTGCACACTGTCCGGAACCTGAATGCCAGCAGCCTCACCATCAACCTGAGACACGGGCACAGTGGACTGTTGCAGGTGCCAGGTCCCCCTCCAAAAACAAACCTCTCAAACATGTCATCCATAAAAATCAAGGGGAATGGTAACAACAAAGTATCGTAACAAGGGGCCTTGACAAAAGTCATTTTTTTCATCTGGGGCGGTTCAGGTTTTTGGTCCATGTGCTCAGCAGGGGGGTCTTGTGCAGGAATTGAATGTCCCGCTGTTGGTTTGATCTTGTCGGTCAAGAGCTGGTCAATCAAGTCCTGTGTCAAAAACTCTTGAAGCCATTCATGATGAGCAGGATCGGGAAGCCCCGCATAGCGCACAGGGACATTCAATGATGTGCTCAGGGTCAGGGCTGCGTGGGCAAAGTCACCAACAACTGGCACATAATCCACAATGTAGATTGCAGAAGTGCTGGACAATTGAACCCCGTCCTTATCACCCAATCAAACTGGCGAGTGAAGAAAAACCAGCAACTGAACAACAATTATTGGAACATAAGTTTGGGACCACAATCAAACTCAAAATTGTTTCCTGTAATTTGTTGAATACTAAAATGAGTGTCCGTGATCGCTTTCAAAAGGCTGACACCCGCTTCCTTCCCGACCTGTGCATACTTGACGCCACCCCGGAAACGATCATCAACATTGGAATTTGGAAGTTTCCCAGATTCTTCAACTTGGATCAAATCCTGCCGGGCAAACAACTGTCCTGGTTCTGTTTCATAAATCCTTACTTACAATATATAGTTTTGGAATCCATACAACAAGTACCTTACAAGCTTTTAATGGACAACCATCTTAAAACGAATGTGTGTGTGTGTGAATGTCGTGTTCAATTCCAGCTAGTCCTTTTGCGCCAGTTGGGGTACTTCATCCAAGTTCCTGCCATTCTTGAGAAGGGCACTGGATCTCCACACCCATTCGTTCATCTTGTCGGTCTTGTCCATGAAAGGGGTAAGTAGGCGGCACGGGTATGTGAGGGGTCGCATGTCTCGCTGGTCCTTTGCTGAAAATTTTAATGACCCCCAAAACCACAGGGTGACCTGAAAACAAAATAGTCAGTCAAAAAAACAAAACCAAATCCACAGTAGACATGGGACACAAAAAGCAACATACAATGAACATGATTTAAAACTAGTCCATTGAATTTCAACTAAGCATGACATTTCGTTTTGGGGTCGAAGCAAAGTTGCACAGCATGATCAACAGTCACACCATCTCCATGCAACGTTTTGAGGACACTGTGCTCATCCATGTACAATGTACCAGGCTTGTAGTTGAAGATGGGTGTCAAGAGAATCCCTGTGGAATCCTTTGGTTCTCCCACAAAATGATGACCGATGATTTTCGAAATGCACACCATCACATCAGATCGCACAAGGGAGGGCGCTGCGTAGTTGAACAGATGAACTTTCACCTGAGTATTGAAACCAAACTTGAAACCAAAAACTTGAAACCCAAACTATCCAACTTTCAAGTCCCTCATTCCCAAACATTACATCCCCAAGTTGAAGTTAGTGACAACATGGTTGCACTTCAACTGGTGTGCCCATGCTTTGACATCCTGTTGAAGGGCTTGCACAAGCTCCACGGCACTGCCCGCCGAAATCTTCTCAGGCCAAGATAGCAGGTTAACCTCAAGGCAAACAGATCAATTTGGGTCTGGGAATGATTGGGAGGATTTGGGGGGTATAAAATGGCAAACTGAGTGGTATGTAGCAATGCAAAGCCAAAAAGATCATTATTCAAAAACAATGTGCTTGACTACACATTGACATTGTGTCAATAAAACAAACAATAAACATGAATGAGTTGTGACTACATCGAAAGTATGTTTTGACCTTTCGCCATCTTGGCCTTCTTCTTCAAGATGTCTTGCGCTGCAGATTTTGCAGAGTTGTGTCTCTCGATCTGCCAAAGATCTCTTTGGTGCCAGACCCTCAAATCCCACTCTTTGATCTTCCTCAGATGCACTCTCCAGGACTTCACATCAAAATCAAGCTCCGACAGGAGAAGTTCGAACGCTTGTGACATCACCCTTTGTTCTCCCATCTGCACCGCCGTCAAAAGCTCCACGGATGAGGTGTTGGGGGATGACTTGTCACAGAGGTCATTGAGAATGGCAGCTATGCCTGAACAAATTGGACTGATTGACCCAAACCCACTTCTAACCCAAACCCTTTTCTGACCCAAACCCTCTCAACGCTGGAACAACAAAAACCAAACAAGTAAAGTTTGTAATTATTTCTATGTTACTCGGACAGTCCCGCGCACTGTATTTTTCGTCCTTGGACATCAGTGCTGACTGAAGTTCCATGTCCATGACTGACTCACCCTCTGCCAGCTTTGTCAGGAACCTCTATGGTTGGGTGTCAGGCAAGTGTCAAGACTTAGGGACAGGTCAGAAACTTAGGGGAAAAATGATTTCAAAAATTCGATTTAAAGGTCTCAAGCAAAGGGCCGGTTTTCAAGTTCCTTCTCCGTGTTTGGAACTTGCAAAATGACTTCTTGGACCAAAGCACCTGACAGTATGACACCCCCAACCAAAGGAAAGCAATATGGAATCATAGTAGTTAGATAATGATCAAAGAACATACCATTTAGCATACATATTTCATATTAATCACATTGGTGAAAAGTCATACCAGCTGAATCTGAAACAAAGGAGCACGCCAATGCACAGACCTCGGCCTTCTCTTCCAGTTGGGATTTGTTCAAATTCTTGGGCGTCTTCTTGTGCTGGCTCCAAATCATATTGAACATGAGCACACAACTCTTTTTGGTGACTTTGCCACGTTCAATCCATGGTGAACCACGTGGTGTGTTCCGCCCCTTAAAGGAATACCCAGGCAGGTACCGCTTGCTAGACAGGCAATCGTCAGAGAATGGTGAACCTCAAACCCGGCATAGACCGACATTTCAAATGAGCAACATCAAACAACAGGTAAACACTCCAGGTGGGTCCCAAAGATTTTGGAAACAACAGGGTGCTATAAAATGTTTAAATCTTGAAAGTTCAGACCTAGGCACCCTCAAAACCAAACTCACTGACAATAGCCAGCAAGATTTCCCGAGCCGTGACAGGTAGGTCCAAAACAGAGGTGACTGAAGTCTTTTTGGTGCTCACTAGACGATCATCCCTTGATGCTTCTTCATTCCTGGTGCTTGTTTGAAACCCCTGAAATAAACACACAGTCCCCCAGTCAACAGTTGCTGGAAACTTTGGGAAAAACAATAAAGGCCACTAATTGTTGTGTTGAGGTACCATGCTCGAATCATGCTAATCGGGTCAGACTTTGTCCAGCTGGAGAGGTTGAGGAAACTGTACACCCATGATATCGCATTTGGTTTTGCCCGGATGCCCCCACGGACACTCTCCTTCATGTTGAAAAACCTGAAGTGCACCCAAGGAAGAACTTAAAACCAAATAAGTTGATGATAATATACCAGCTTACTCTGCCCATAGATGAACACAGGGGGTAAACAAACCTGACTTAAAGTCTGGGCACAGTTCAGCCTGCTTGTCCCGTAAGCGAACGTGCTTGCAGTGGATGTTGGACAAAGTCTTGTACAACAACTCATCGAAAACCTTCATGGGACAAAACCAAGCCAGCAATCATAAGTAACCAGTATGAAAAACCAACAATTACTTAAAGGTATTAAATGCAGACAAATAATAGTTATTACAACCCGAACCTCTAGGGTCGAAGTGGTGTGTTTCGAAATGTACACCATCAAAGCCATGACCGTGTGAATCCTTCCAGCCCCTTTCAGGAACCACAGCCCCCCTGATGGGATCTCCTCCCTGGACTGGGTCAAGGCGTCATCCTGGGCAGGGCCAATGGTATTGGTGATTGGTGGGTCTTTTCATTTGGGAACATTCTTTTCGGGGAAGAACCCACTTCCCAACCAATTTGGAAATTTTCTAACCCTGCCTGAATCCGAATCATCACAGGGTTCCCGGCAGTCAAAAACCCATCACAAGCAAATTGTTGCAAGATTTGCCTTGAAAGATCCAAAGCCGTGGGTTCCCTCAAGCTGGACTCATTCTGAACCGAGAACAACCACAGTGGAACCATGAAGGGAAGTTGTTGTCCCTCTTGTCCTAGCTCAGGGGGAGATTTCAAAGTAACAGAGTGACCATTTTGTTTCTACAATTTTCTGGGGTAACAGTTGGCCAAAAGAAAGAAGTAAATGTTGAAAGTCTCCTGGCAGGCAAGCCGGCACAGGGTAATGGGTCAGATAGTCAACATCCTGCCGAAGGAGAATCAACTTCTTCAAGATTGCCGCCAAGTCTGTAGCACGGGTAGACTCCACTGAGAACATGCGATGAAGGTACTGCCGGACACCCCCATGACCTTGGATTTAGGTCAGGGTTGTGTAAGATTTGTCAACCATGAAATATAATACAAGAACCACTCTTCATAAGGCTACTGTTTGCTTATCTTTAAGGATCATTCATCATTCAAGTATCCAGAAATTAAACACCGATCATCAAAAGATTATGGTTGGCGATTTTCGACCAAGGACTTTTGAACTCTGCATAAGCCAAGTCAAACAGCTTTTCCTTGTTCGTCAAAATGACATCCGAATGAATGGTAGTAGGGGCTTCTGATGTGCCACCATCTTGGCTATCAAAAAGGGCTCTTGCAATGTCTGGGTCAAGTCCCGTCTCATCCTCGCAGGCCTGTAGGGCCGATTTGTATTGGACCTAAAGACCGGTATGGAATATGGAGTATGGAGTATGATGACTAAATAGAGGACCATATGTTGATACATGAATCTTGATAAAACAATTCAATTTCAGAGAAGAATATACTATATAGGTCAAAGATTGTATATTGAGTAGATCATACTATGACCACACTTGTGTTTTCGATAACTACACTATAACCCCCTTATGCTCCGAAAGTTTGGGCCATTGGTCTGACACCTCGGGGCTGCCAGGAAAATGGTCCTGTGTCTCTGCACCATCCATCGCGCAGGCAGGGACCCAAAGCAGGATCAATGGGCGTGGATTGATCTGCAAGAGTTGGGGGCCCATGCATGGCAATGCAAAACCTCCCAAAATATTTTGGCAATTCTTATGATGAAGAAATTGGAATAGTAGTTAGATCCCAACTATCAAGATCATATATGTTTTTGTAGGGGCCTGGCATGTCGTTCCAAGGGTCCGGATGCAATGACTGATAAGAGAGACACAACGTATGACCATTCTTTGTAATTGGCCCCAAATGTTTGTTTGAACTGGGTGCCAAAAAACATGTGGGGCCCCTTAGAATGTTTTCAAAGAAAACAAATTTGGGTTTGAATGGGAGGAGTTTAGAATCAATGGGGGTTCACAACTCTTCTTAAAACCCAATTTGTTAACCCCCTTTTTTTAAACAGGGTCAAAAAATTGGTCTTGGAACCATTGGACAATTAATGATCCAGACGTCTCATGAGAGAACTATCAACTAAGACTGGGATAATAGGACCCTAGTAAAACCAGCAAATCTTTAAACTAATTTGCCAGTAAAGCATTGTTTCAAAGCCTATGGATGTAATAATCTACAATGGTAAAAAAACCAGCACATATCAGATCATAACCCAGTAACAATTCTATTTCTGGACTTGGCCTGTTGAAGTCTAACACAATGTAGTGATGTATGGGGCCCAAAACCTACTCACAAGTCATTCCTTTGTAATGTTCAACCACCAGGAATTATTCGAAATAAAGGATAAGTTTAAGCCAAATTTCCACCTAATAAAATCACCAGAATTATTTCAATCGCATTGATTTTGACGAAGTCAGGTTGCAGAATCCAGCACCCTGACTTAGGAAAAAAAAATATTTTTTTTACGATATCCTGGTTCCATGGTATGGTTTTGCCTAAGTCAGGGTGCAGAATCCTGCAACCTGACTTAGGCAAAATCAGACTTGTCACTGGGGAGTTAGGAAAAAAAATATTTTTTTTGCCGATCTCTGGGTGCAGGATTCTGCAACCTGACTTAGGCAAAAAACCTATTTTTCCGCATTTGTTTGCAACCAATCATGGGGTCGTCAAATTGAAATTAGGAAACAGAAATATTTTTGTTTGACGATCTTTTGGCGTGGGGATACCCATAATTCATCGCAAGCATTTTTTGGTGGTCCCTCCGCATTCCAATCTGCAACTGCCAGTCACCACTCGCCCCTGGGTCTACCAACAATGGCCGGGGTCATGGCCTTGGGAACCGATCATGATGAGGCGATGTGTGGGATTAGATTACTGTATATTCTCTTTAGGGCTTTTCAAAACCATCATGGGGTCTGGAGTCTGGAGTGATCTTACTGTTTTATGACTATTATGCATATCATGATTTACAACCATAATCATGATATAATACTTATTGTAAACTCATTGGCAACCACATTCCATTCAGCAAATACCCTTGGAAAGGGTAATGACATTATTGGGGAATCGTGGTTGGTCTCCCAAACAAAAGCGTATTTTTTTTTCCTTGGGTCCACACGCCAACAAGCATATTCTTGGGTACTCAGGTATGGTCCCAAAGAAAAAATTGAATTTGAGGCATTATCTGAGTAAGTGCTTTGGGAAACCAAAAGGCAAACACCCAACTTATTGTTGCTGTAGTAATATATTGTGGATCCGCTATGGTAACACCATCTTCAACATCCCCATGTTTTTTTCGACCAGGGCCCCTCAAGGTTTTGATATCTAATCAACCCAAGATAAAATTGCGTTTGTACCTCAAAGTATGTGGAATCCCTCCACTTTGGCCCAGCTGGCCCAACATGGTTCCAAAACAACCGATCCGGGCCTCTACAGAGACCCAACATGGCCCCAACATGGCCCCAACATCGACCCCAGATGGCCCAACATTGTCCCAACTTGGACACCAAATGGCACAACATGTTCCGAACATAGACTTCAAATGGCCCAACATGGGCCCAACATAGGCCCAAAACCAATCCCAACGGAACGGACGTTCCGTTGGGATTGATTTTTGACCCCATTAAAGCCACAAATCACCCAACGTAGGCCCAACATAGTCCAACATGGCCCCTCAAGAGCCAAAGATAGACCAACTCAGGCCCAACATAGGCCCCACATAGGCCCAACATGGCCTAGACATGACCTAAAAGCTGGCCCAAGAAGTCGGCATTTGAACCCAGACATAAGGAATCCTTACGTCTGGGTTGAAATGGAGGTCCGAATGGGCAACATGAGCCCAACATACTATCCTTTTTCCTCCAACATAGGCCCAACTTAGCCCCCAAATGGCCCAACATGGCCTCAACATGGCCTCAGCGTGGCCCCAACAGCCCAACTTAAGCCCAACATAGGCCCCATACAGGCCCTCCAAAAGAGAATTTGGAACTTTGAAGCCCCCATTCAGACCAGTTGATTCTATTCAGATCTAATTTATTCAGATCAGTAGTTCTTAATGATAATGGTCACTTGAAGATGTGACCCCAGTCCACCAACTCGGCTTGCCAAGGCGCAAACTTTGCACTTTGCTGTTGGCACCTGCAACGATAGCAGCTTGTCAAACCAAGGGAAAGGCAAGTGTTAAAACCTTTTCACGCAGATCTAATTTGTTTGGAATCATTGCTACATACTCCCCAAAATGGATTGATGATTGGCAAGAAACCCAATTGACCTGGGAGTGAGTTCGTCAAGTGCAGTCAAAAAAATACACTGAAATTCAAGGTATTTTTTCACTGCACGAGTACCATGGTAAAGAATCATGATATACTTATTGTAAACCAATTGGCAGCCACAATCCCCATCGGGTGTTTTGCCAGGGAGTGTTCTACATAAATTTGCAGTCAATAAATATCAATCCTTGGAAAGGGCAATAACATAATTGGGTATCCCTCTGACTTTTTATTGCTGGATTTATTGAGGATCGGCTATGGTGACATGATGTTCAACATAGCTACAGTTGTTTTTTAGACCAAGGCTTTTGGAGGATATGATATTCAAATTCATCCCAAAATATCCCAAGACATAGATTGTGTTTGAATTGACCCAGTAATGGATGTGTCAATTAGCTCAAAAAAAAATGGTGTGCAGAATGCATCCACCTGGTTGCCCAAATTTTGTTTTAGTTGTCAATCTTGACTTAAGGGGAATTACAAGGTTCCAAAATGATGAAATGGTTGGATATCTGGGTATCCTTTTCGGAAAGACATTTTGTGGTGAGCCGCAACCATGATGATAACAAGTATCGGCAAATCGGTGTCAATCGGTATTTGTTGGGTTTCCTCCCAAAAGTTGGCTTTCAGGAGGTTTGTGTGGGTTTATTTTGGAGACCCAACCCAACCCCAAAAAGAGTAGTTGGCTTCCACATATGTCATTTTTTCCTGCTCGGTCCATCCACACCGTGCCAATCAATCAAAACAGCGCTTTTGGCAGTCCAAAACTGCTTTGCACAGGGTGTCCACCATTTGATCGGGGTAGTGCTGGGCCCAAACAGACCTTTTGCATCCCCCCTCAGAGCCCTCAATTCTTTGATGGCGATGGGAACCATCACAATATTTGCCATCCATGGCCGAAACAATTTCCGGGACATTAGTAACTATGCATGTCCGTTTCTGCATCGGGGTCTTGGTCTCTTTCGAAACCAAGCCAAACATGCATTGGTCAAAGGTGATGAGTCGGACATCCTCCTGCTCCAGCAAATATTGTACCTCAGAAGGCCATGGGGAGGACAGCCAGTGGTTGCCTTTTTTCCCACAACTGAATGCCAAACTAACATACTAACCGGGGCTTGGAGACACTTGGAAATATATGAATATTATTGAATATTAGGCTTGACAGTTAGGTATTCAAAAAACATGTCAGGGCCATACTCTCCCAACACTCGAACATGAGTTTTTGAAAACCCAGCTCAATATTCCAGGGCATCAATGGGCTAGATTCTGGTCAGTGGCTATTTTTTCCCACATAGGTCAAGGAGGGAACATGGGGACCAAATAATTTCTTTCAAACTGAGCAGCCGAATCTCTGTTCCAGGCTAGGCTGCCCGCAGGGTGCTCCATCCCAAAAAAAGCACCAGTCCGTAGCTGGAATAAGGCAATCCAGGCGCATAAATCCACATGCCCCAAACCATCCCGAAGGCATAGGAATTTCTTGTTTCCCCGCATCCTTGACCAGTTGGATGCCATGAGCTTGCACAAATACGTACATGGTGGGCTTAAACTCAAGTAGAATGGACGGAAGGTCGCCAAGTCTTGCAAGAGGGTTCTCTGGTAACTTTCCAATCCCAAATCCCAGAAGTGCTGAATATCATAACTTCGACGACATGTCCCTCCAAGTTTGCGCACATGTGGTCCTAGGCGGGGTACATTGTAGATCTCCCATAACGTACAACGCTCATTCCACCAAGACCGGCTCCATGGGGCATTGAACATCACGTCCACCATATCTGAGAATGGCATTGCAATTACAGAAGGGATTTCTTCAGCAGCACCTTTTAGAGTATCACTGGTGCAGTCAAAAAGATCAGGAACACCATTTGTTTTCCGGGGTTCTTTGGAATTTCGACCAACATTGGTTCTGGAGCCCTTGGGGCCACCCTTGGTTCTGCGAGCTTGGGACTTCGGTGAAATCTTAGCTTTGGGCAAGACGTGAGGCCTGCTCAAAGTGCCACTACGGATGAAGTCGATCTCTCCATCATCGTCAGGCGGGGGAAGCTCAGTCGA